CTATAAAACAAACTTTTAATATGTAAAAAAAAAAAAAAAAAAAAAAACATACTTTCAATTAACTTTAATTTTGTCAATTACCAAAAATTTAAATTCAATTGTAAATTTAATTTTGTAAATAAATTGTATTCATTGCATGGTCTAGTCAGAGCCCAGACTTAAACCGCACTGAAAATCTGTGGAATGACTTGAAGACTGCAGTCCACAAACACTCACCATCAAATTGAACTGAACTTGAGCAGTTCTGCAAAGAAGAGTGGGCAAATATTGCAAAGTCTAGATGTGCAGAGTTAGTAGAGACAAATCCCAACAGACTAAATGCTGTAATTAAAGTAAAAGGTGGTTCAACAAAATACTGACACAAGGGCTGATCCTTTTTCCAACTCAGTGATTGTTTTTGTTTTTTTTTCTGACATGTTGGGGTTATATCTTTCACTTGGATGTTATAAGCTGCACTGAGTAAATTCAGCTGGATAAAAGAAAAACTGTGTCCGTCTTCAATTCAGGCTGCAAAGCAACAAAATGTGATTATTTTAAAGGGGGTGATTCTTTTCAATACCCACTGTATATATAACTGACCTTACACTTTTAAACTGTAGTCTAACAAGACTTTAGGAAAAGACAGGGTTTAGGAAATAAACACGTATTAAAAACAAGTTGTTACACAACAATCTAAAAAAATAGTTTTAATTATGTTTTATTACATTTATTTACAGTAATTTTATTTATCTATGAAAGCGGTTAGTTCAAAACTAATGCAGATGAACACAGATGACACAGTAAATAAATATATGTCAGAATATTCAATTTCATTTGAGTCCAAAGGTCCAGTACACTTAAAGGGACAGTTCACCCAAAAATGAAATTTCAGTTTTCATTTACTCACGCACTTCAATAGTATTTTTGGTCCAGACTATGAAAGTCAATGGTTACCATCAACTGTTTGGTTACCAACAGTATTCAAAATATCTTCTTTTACGTTCCACAGAAGAAAGAAACTCGTACAGGTTTTGAACAACATGAGGATGAATAAATGATGGCAGAACTTTTATTTTTGGGTTAACTGTCCCTTTAACAGTGAATATATAATATTATATTTTCCTTACATGAATACTTCACTACGATCGTATTTGGAGTATATTTGATTGTTTCAGTTGATGGAAGAGCTTCTCATAGAACGTCTGCATGAATTAAAAGAAGTTGTCCATTACAGTGTGCAGGTACCGAACTGAGTTCGTACTTGGTACTACTGAAAAAAACTCTTAGATATTGTTACGCATTAGGGATATGCCGGTATCAAATTTTCATGTTGCGATTAATTGCTAATGCTGTTATCACGGTATGCGGTATTATCACGATATTGAAATTTAGTTTAAAAAAGTGCTGTCATAATACAGTATAACAGGTTTAATAACTTTTTTCTTATAACAAAAATAACTGAACATTTAAATGCAATAAAGCAATACAGAAAAATGTATAAAGTTAAAAACTGTACACAGATTAAAGTGCAAAAGAACTATAAAGACCAATAGGTATCACTTTACAATAAGACCTCATTAGTTAACCTTAGTTAATGCATTAACATTCACAATGAGCAATAGCAACATTTGCTACAGAAGTTATTAATCTCTGTTTAAAAAATACAAGTCTTAGTTCATGTTAGCTCATTAAATAACACAGTTGCAACTTTAGATTTTAA